AGAAGGGCTGAGCACCAAAGAATTGAGGCTCTTCTCCAGTGAGTCTTTCCTTCTCATTAGGTAGCAAGAATACTTGCGTTTCATCTTCAGGATCTGGCCTTCTAAAGAGCAGTCAGGGTTGATCTCCTCTAGGACTGACCAGTTTGATCTCCTTGCAGTCCAAGGGACTCGCAGCAGTCTTCTCCAGCACTATAATTCAAAGGCCTCAATTCTTTGGTGCTCAGCCCTTCTTATGGTCCAACTTTCATAGCCATACATTGCAATTGGGAAAACCAAAGTGCTAACCATTCATTAAATTATCTGATCTCTAACTTGTCCTATTTTTCAAAGAATCAATTACAAAAGCTTTTCTTTCTTTCTGTTTTAAAGCCCATTAAATATAATTCTAATCTAGAACATGTTTCCCAGAGTTTAGGAAAACCATTTTTCATTTTTTTAAAATCTAGCTCATTCTCTCATCTGGCCTGTTGCTTTTCATAATGTTGAACTTGGTTTATGTCATTTATGTCTCTTGTGATTCAATTATTTCATTCGTAGACAGATGTTGCTATGTTACATTTGTCACAGTGGTTCTTATTGCTAAAGAGGGTAATTGTTTTTTAAATAAAATAGCAACCTTCTTGATGATAGCAATATCTGTAGAAAAAGCCATTGCTTGTGTTCTGGGGTTCTCATGATTTCCTTACCATTTAATATCAGTTATTTGGGACAAACTGACCATGTTTATCAAAATATATATACCCTTTTAAAGTTATTTCATAATGCTTCACCATACTTTAAAACGTTGATTGATGATGATTACTCAAAAGAAGAAAATGCTTACTATTTGTGTATTTACTCATTCTGAAATAGGAAATAACAAAGTTCAAAAATGTTATAACATTTTACTGGACTTATAGTCTCAGTCACATTGGAACATTTTTAAAAATATGACTTTTTTGCATGTGAAATTAAGAAATAAAGGATTAGTTGCCTAGTTTCCAATTCTCTTTCCATTGCAGCCATTATCTTTGTCTTCTTTCCTTTTTAACTGAAAGTGGAAAATGAGTAATTGGACTGATACTTTATCACTGTCCCCTTTATGCTTCTGCAAATCTTTTCATATTTATACTTGGCATTTTTTTAAACTGAAAGTGCAAACTGTAAAATAGGATTGATCACACAAAATGAATTGTCTTAATCAAATAGATATAATAATATTGGCAGGATATGAGAACTCTGAGTCCAATGCATTTGCAGGTTCCACCACAAAAGCGCGTAGGACAAAATCGCGCTCGACAAAAGNGCTGGATCCAGGGAAGGTTTCTTAAGGAGGGGTCTCACCACCGCATCCTTTAGAGGATATAATTGTTCTGGTACAAGTGCTGTCATTGATTTTTTGAATGCTATGCTAAGGGCCTGCACTGGAAGAAATCTAATGAAGTTAAAACAAATTAAATTAACAGATTTATTTGATTTTAATTTATACTTAATTAAAATTATATAGTTAAAATATTTCTCTTTAGTCATGTATTCAATAATTTTTCTCATTCTTAATGAAAATTGTAACTTTTATAAATCTTTGGGGTCCATATCATTAGATGGTTTCAAGAGCTGCAGGATGTCTTGATATTTCAGGCTGTCTACCTTTAATTTATGTTATTCTACTTGTATCAATTACACCATCTATCTCCTGAGAAAACAGTCTTTAACACTAGAATGGAAAGGGAAAAATATTCTTTTAAAATAACGAATGAATGAATGAATGAATGAATGAATGAATGAATGAATGAATGACACATACACATACACTTAACATACATATACACATACCTCTAAAGCAGTGATGGCTAACCTTTTTGGCACCAAGTACTGAAACTGAAGCTCATGCGCATGTGCTAGAACCCGGAAGACAGCAACTGGCTGGTGCACATGTGCATGATGGAACCCGTAAGAGCAACAGACGATGTTGCAGCTGCCCACAAAGAGGGCTCTGTGTGCCACCTCTGGCATGCATGCTATAGGTTCACCATCAGGGTTCTAAAGTATCATTTTGTAATATTTTTCAATGATAAATGTCAATTAAAATGATTTCTATGTTTACATTATGCATATAAAAATATATTGAGTATTTCTTGCTTTTTAAACTTACTGTATGATTTTAAAGCTTTAGAAAAAGAGTGAAGGTCTCTCCCAAGACCCGCTTCCCTTACCTTGCAGTGCATTCCGGGATGGTGGTATATTCTTTCTTTTGCCAGTATGGAGGCGTAGCCAGGCTGTTTCTGGTCCGGTAAGGTACACCAGATTTTCACTATCTCTTCTGGTGTACCCTACCGTACTGCGAGGAACCCACCTCTGGGTATCTTGGTACTCATTGTTAATTGGTTCTGGAAAATGTGATGAGGACCAAAAATGGTGAGTCCCAAACAAATAATATAGGGAGTCAACAAGGCAGCCAAGCTTGTGCATTGAGTAGCAAATAAACAATGAGTGCCGGGACAAAACTTTTACATCACAATGTGTTGAGTGCCAAATTCAATGAGTTTCAAAGCAGTTGATACCAAGGTACCCTGTATAGCTAACATGGCAGATTTGAAATGACACCCCAGAAATTGTTTCCTTCATACAACAGTCAATTAAGGTGGATATAATATCTAGATGACTACTAGATTGCAGCAAAGTGATCAAAGTGATAGCAGCAACAAATTGCCTTTGCCATGTAGTCATTTGCACTTTTATAATGAAGACCTGGTAGTTCTAATTAAGCATAGTAGAAAAGTACTGGGATTTGAACTCATTTTAAGAGCTAAATTTTCGATACTATTTGCAGGAAAATTGTAATGGAGCTTTTTTCCCCTGGTCCTATTAGGTATCTTCAGATCTTCCCATTGTGAGTGGTGAAATGACTTTGAAGGTAGAACCTGGGGATACAGCTGCCTATACTCTGAATATATCTCCATGGAAACGAGGAAACTTTAATGGTATTTTTTAAATTTAATAGTGTCATATTACAACTATGGGATAATTAACAGATGACAAGGAGTGTTTGTTGTTGTTATTAGTTGCGAAGTTGTGTCCGACCCATTGCAACCCCATGGACAACTCCAGGCTTTCCTGTCCTCTACCATCCCCCAGAGTCCATTTAAGATCACGCCTACTACTTCGATGACTCCATCCAGTCACCTCATTCTCTGTCATCCCCTTCTTCTTTTGCTCTCAATCTTTCCCAGCATTAGGCTCTTCTCCAGTGAGTCTTTCCTTCTCATTAGGTAGCCAGA